TAACAGACCAAGGAAGAAAACAGGAAGAGAGAAATGAGTAGGAAACTAAAATGGAAAGATGATGATGAAAAACAGATGGAAAAAAATAAAGAAAAAGAGACAGACAGAGAGACAAAGGGTGAAAAAAGAATAGCAGTGGAAAAAAGGATAAAGTAAAATGGTTAAGAAAAACACTAAAGACACCCAAAGGAGCCAAAAAGGAAGAGGATGAAATAGAAGAGGGCATGGAAAAAGATCAAGTAGGGAGACATAGAGGGGGATGTAGAAGAAAAGAATGAAGTGGAAGAGGACAAGGAAAAAGAAGAACATCTGCCTGAAGAGAATGAGAAGAAATGGAATGTATCTTACATATAGAAATTAAGATTTACACATATCTTGGTATTCATATTTCAGACACTGATCATATTTATCTATCAAAATAAGACAAAATGTATAATGACTATTGTACAATAGGTGATATATTTTCAAACATTTGGCACAAATGAAAAAAATATACAGCACTCATTGCAAACACTCTTATTGCATTCTTATGCAATAGTAAGTGGGAGAAGCAAATGATGACATGATCATGAAAAACCTTTCCCTAGCCTTCTGTCAGGAACTTATGTCAGTAGGCCAGTCTTTTGATGTTCATTATCAAGCATACTTGATACTCAGGGATAGGATAGAAGACACAAAGGAATACTGAAAAATTGTATCAAATTTATCATGTGATCATGAATCTCCCATGTACTTTAGACTTCTATCAAAACATGCCAGAAGTTGAGAATATCTAACAACTTGGTAATGAACCAAACACAATACTGATTTACCATTATGTAATACATAGTTGGCTTGCTCTCAAGCTATCATAGAGAGAACATGGAAATTTTTATATCCAAGTGAAGTGATTCTTTAAGTAGCAATAAATGGATGAAAACTTAAACCAGACCCAGGAGAAAAACCTGGCTTATTAAAAAAAAAAAGGACTATGATACTCAAACGAACAGAAGACCAAAAGAAGAAAGTGAGAACGAAGAAAACTCAGATCCCAGATTTGTCCATACTCTTGCTTTTTCTGTGACCAGAACCTTTCACCAAACACAAATCAAACATATGTTCAGACCCTAAATCTACCTTAGAGTCTCACAGCAGAGCAGGGAAAACCAACGAAAATAAAAACTCAGAATTTATATAAAAAACAAACGAATAAATATCTCATCCAAAGAAAAAAACTCAAACAAATAAAAATGATTTTAGTAAATAGAATCCTAAACAAATAGATACAGAAGATTCCCAATAGCTTGGAGTCTCCCAACCACAGTAAGAGACGGAATCACAGAAAGAAATACAAACCAAAAACAAAGATTTCTCTTGGATAGATATAATGACAAGAAGTACAATGACTCCAGTAACAAATAAACAATGTGAATTCAGAAAAAATAATCATAGAAGTAATAATAGATGCAATAAAAAAAATTCCCCAATACTTAAAAAGGTCATATTACTTCTACATGAATAAGTTAATTTTATGGAATGCAAGATCAGTCCTAAATAAAAACACAGAAATACCTCATATTCTACATAAAGAACAACCAGAAGTATTCACAATATGTGAAACATGGTAAAAAAAAATAAAGATAACTTTAACTTGCAAAAATTATAACATTATAAGACATGACAGACAATGACAAATTGGAGGAGGATTGGTATTTTGTAGTAAAGACAATCTACAATATAAAGAAATAAATTTAAGTGAAAGACTCAAAGACAGAATAGAAGCACTGGGCTTAAAAATATTTTGAAGTCACAAAAAGAACTGGACTAATATTCAATTAATGTACAACCCATGCAATAATCTAAGCCAGAAAGAAATAGAATATTACATAAAACAAATAAATGACCTCAGATTAATAATAGGGGACTTTAATGGTCATCACAAATACTGGATCCCCAAAATAAATGAAAAACAAACAAATACAACGGGCAAAAAGCCCATTCAAAGTAATTCAATATCATTTTAATAACCCCCTTAAGTCAGACCACAAGAATAGACCTCAGAAATGGAAAGGAAACAACATTGGACTTGGTTCTAGCATCACCTACTATAAGCCACTTACAACCCGATACAGGTCCTAATCTAGGTAGTGATCACTTACCTGTAATAATAAGAGATGACACTATAAATTAGTCCCCTCAGTTAAAGGAAAAGAAGTGGAAATTCACAAATGAAGAATGGATAAATTACCAGCACAAATTAAATAAAACTAATACAATAAATTTAAGTTTCCTCGGAGAAATAATTGACCTTATAAAAGACATTTGGGAAAACATTTTAAATTTGACTTATATGAGAAAAAAAAATTAAATAAATGAATTGTGGGAAACATTTTGCACTTCAATATATTTTAATACCCCCATCAAAAAAGATCTGGAACTTTATAGAAAAAAAAAAAAAAAAAACGAATGGGAAAGACAACACAAGGTAACTACCCATTAATAGATAATGATCAAACTGCCTCAAAAATAAAAAATTAATTAGAAATATTCAAAGATGAATATCAAAAAGTAGTAAATAATCACACAAAAAATGCTGACAGATACTGGAAGGGAAAACTCCTATAAACTCCAAGTAAGATAGAATAAATGGCATGATAATCAAGAATGAACTCGTTCAAATAATAGCAAATACAAAAAATTATAAATCATATGGTCCTGACAAAATTTCATATGAATTTCATAAAAATGTGACTCAAAAGATCTTGAATATAATTCTAAAGCAAATGAACATTTCCTGGACTCGTGGAGATTATCCACAAGATTTCTAAAATGTGATAAATCCCATTCTAAAACCAGGCAAAATTCCATCAGAAGCAAAATCATATAGATTCAATCAGCTGAATAACCTGTCTAAAATATTTGAAAACATAATAACTAAAAGACTAAACTGTAGTTAGAAACTAACAACAAATTAGACATACACATAATAGGTTTTAGACCATACTATACCACAACAGATGCAATAAAAACAATAGAAATAAACATAACTAATGCCATGAAAGAAAAAAAAAAATGCACTAGTAGCATGCACACATATTGAAAAGGCCTTCGACACAGTAAATCATGATGCACTTCTAATAATAATGGCAAAATTAGGTTGAAAAGGAAACCTACTAAATTGGATATACAGTTTTCTAAAGGAAAGAACATTCCAAATAAAAAGAGGCAATCAAAACTCCATAAAAGGAACAACCTTGAGTGGAGACCCTCATGGATCCCCTTTAAGTCTAACACTTTTCAATATAATGGCAACTGATCTAAAATTGTCAGGAGAAATAAAAAGGACTATATATGCAAATGATATAACAAATATCACCACAAATAAAAATCTAAAGAAAGCCAAGAAATACCTAGAAAGAGGCCTAAAACAAATTTTAAAAATGGGCAGACACCTGGGATTTAAAAATAAATCTAACAAAAAGTAATATATTATGCATCACAAATAAAAAGAAGAGTTCAGTTACCCAAAATACAAATAGACGTAGAAATAGAATTTACTGATAGCAAAGACATATTAGGTTTAAAATTTGATGCACCAAAATTAAAATGGTCAAAACATATAGAACTCAACAAAGTAAAATCCCTCAACAGAATAAATATAATGAATAATGATATTATCATATAACTGGGGAACAAAAAGGCAATCGCTAATAAAATTCTATATCATTTACGTAAAACTTAAAATAGAATATGCTTTTATAGAAAAAAATAAAATAAAATAATAATAATAATAATAATAATAAATAATAATAATAATAAAAAAAAGGAAACAATCCAAAATACTGCTTTGAGAATATCCACAGGATGTTTCAAATCCACTCTAATAATATCATTACAAGCTTTTACAAACAAACCTCCAATAAAAGAGAGAACAAACAAACTTGCTTGCATTCAATTAGTAAAAATATTGGGAAAACCAGATGACACCAGTGAAAGAATAAATTATAAATAGTATCAGAGAATATAACCCAAACAAAGGTAAAAGCTCCTACACTCAGAAAGTCATCGAAACCTGCAAAAAAACTAAATATTAATATTTATCCAAGACTCTGAATACAACTCCTATAACACCATGGCATGACATTTCCCACAAATTAATAACAAAATTCATGGATAATTTCTCAAAAAATCTCTCCAATAAATTTTTTAAACATAATTAAAAATGTTGATAAATACAAAATATAAATACCACAGTAAAATATTCACAGATGGATCTACAATTAAAGAACCTCATTCAACATCAGCTGCCATATAAATCAAATAAAGAAAATTACAACAATTTGGAAATTACTGAGGAATACACGAATATTAGAAGCTGAATTATATGCAATAAAACAAGGTCTGAGATATATAAAAGTTAATAACCTTACACCCTCTGTCATCTTTAGAGATTTACTCTCACCAGTATTAATACTCTAAAACCACAAACCCAGTAATTACAAACAAATCATATATGAAACAAAAAAACAAATTTACACTTTAACACCAAAATCATAATGCCACAATACAACAGATTCCAGTGCATAAAAGCATTTTAGAAAATGAAATAGAAGACCTTGCAGCAAAGAAAGCTCATGAATTACATGATTCCAAATTCATAACCCAAGACACCAACAACATATCAAAAGATATAAAAGATATAAGAGCAAAAACAAAATACAATAGGAAGAACTGATAAACAAAATTCTGATAACAAAAACACTATTACCTCAAATACAACACCCCACAGCCATGGTGCAGATCTGAAAACACAAAACTGGATGTTTGTCTCACAAGAATCTTGACTACATATACTAGATTAAGAAAACATCCACATAGACTAAAACTTGAAACAGACCCAAGCTGCAGATGGTGCCAACACTCAGAAGAAACTGTTGAACACCTAACAATACAATGTCCATGATTTCCCTCCGACAGATCTAAACCAATAGAGGCATTAAAAAAATAAAAATAACTAATCC